GAAGGAGGGGGAGAGTAAGTGAAGGAGGGGGGAGTAACAGAAGGAGGAGGAGGGGGAGAGTAAGTGAAGGAGGGGGGAGTAAGTGAAGGAGGGGGGAGTAACAGAAGGAGGAGGAGGGGGAATAATAAGAAGAAGGGGGTATGAAAAACGGGGGGTAAGAAGAACAAGGGGGGAGTAAGAAAAACACAAGGAGGAGGGGGGAGAGTAAGAGTGAGGAGAAGGGGAGATGAGGAGAAGGGGGGACTGAGAAGAACACAGGGAGGGTGGGTTGTGAGGAGAAGGGGAGATGAGGAGAAAGGGGGATTGAGAAGAACACAGGGAGGGTGGGTGGTGAGGAGAACACAGGGAGGGGAAGGTGAGGAGGACACAGGGAGGAGAGGGGGTAAGAAGAACACAGGAAGGGGGGAGTTGAGGAGAACACAGGGAGGGGAGAGGTGAGAAGAACACATGGAGGGTGGATGAGAAGAGCACAGGGAGGGTGGGTGAGTGTGAGAAGAGACAGCTAGGGGAGGGTGGGGGAGAGGAGAGACCACTAAGGGGGCAGGGGAGAGCTAGAAGGGACAGCTCTATAGGACAGGGGGCAAGACAGGGAGCTCTTTCACACTACGCACACACACACAATGCATCCCTATACATACACAGAAACACACAATGCATCCCTACACACACAGAAACACAACATGCTTCCCTTACACACAGAGGAACACACAATGCATCCATTACACACACACAATGCAAACCTTACACACAAAGACAATGCATCCTTTGCACACATACACAGAAACACACAGTGCAAACCCTTACACACACACACTGCTTTTCTTACATACACACAGAAACACAATGCATCACTAACACACACTCAATGCACACACTTACAAACACACACCTTGTATCCTTTATGCATACAAACACAGATTCACACAATGCATCCCTTACACACAACCAGAAACACACAATACATCCCTTATACACAAATACACACTGCTTCCACTACACACAAACACACTGCATCACCTGCACAAACTGGTATCCCTATACACTACATACCATAAGCACACATATTAGATCCTCTACAATAACACATAACACATCCCCTACACACTCCACTCCCTGTGAGCGAACTCATGGGTGGGTGGAACATATAAGTGGACTTATGAGTGGGCCTTGTGGGCATACTCACCGTCAGGCCCTGGGGCCCAGACCTTGAGCTGTGTAAGGGGCCCCCAAAAAATGGAGCTGCTTCCAATTCTCTCAGAACATTGAATTTTGTGATCACAGTTGCAAACAGCCTCCAGAGATCCTGTTCTACACCAGACCAGTGGAGCCAAACTGCAGCCCATCATCATCCTCATTTGGTTGTAAGTAGGCAATCTAGTATATTATTAGTGACACTAATCTATAATTTACCTCACATTAAAGGGACACTATATTTCCCAGAACGACTGGAGCTTAATGAAGTGGTTCTGGTGTCTATAGCCGGTCCCTGCAGGCTTTTTAATGTAAACACACACTGTGGGCAGCACTGGCGTTAGTTCGTATGGCAGCTCATATAGGTGGGGCATTGTGATGTCACATGGGGGGCGGGAAATACAGCTGTTCCCCATGCAGCCACAGGTGCCACTGTGCTGGGAGATTGTGATTACTCTTCACTTCCTCCCAGCTTACAGAGCAGCGCATGGGAGAGAGAGAGGAGGAGGCATGATTTAATCTTACAACAAATCCAGTAAGCAAATCTTTATAAATTTGAGGGGATCAGCTCTGTTTCCACAGTTTATTGGTGTTTACTCTGATGTCTGTATTAATATTGAGGGATTTCTAAGTAGTAACATCAGTGTGTGTCAGCAGGGCCAGCCGTTGGGGTGTGCACGCTGTGCGGTCACGCAGGGTGCCATCACAACAGAGGCGCCCGGCGGACAACACAGCTCACAAGTTGGGGACACCAGCCTATTCAATTTAAACGATTCGCTGGTGGTCCACTGGTACGCACCAGTAGTAGGTGCAGTCAGATTATAGCCTCTCCCTCGTGGTTCCGGCGCTCAGTTAGTGAGTCAGAGCACACGCTCAGAGATTCTCAGCCTGCGCTTTGACAACATTGAAAGTCAGAGCTGTGAAGGAGCGGGTATGGCAAAGAGCTAGTGATTAGCATAACATCAATATCCGTTATAAAACCAGGAAAAGGTGGGCACCATTGCACTGATTTGGTGGTGCAATGGGCCACTTGACTGATTTTGCCCCCCAGGCCTAAGGCTGCCAGCCCTCCCCTGCAAACACGTATTACCAAACCTTAGAATGGTCAGGTTTAACGTAGGTAGAAAAGAGTAGTCAAGGATACTAAAGATCAGGAGAACGATATAAGAATAGCTGGGTCAGGATACCAGAAATCAGGAGGTCAAAATACAAGCCAAGTCAGTACACAAAATTAACAATACAGTTGCAAGGAGAATCAAAGAGCAGTAAGGGGAACACAAGATACCACAATAGGGCAAGGAACAAAGTAAAAGGTGCCCCTTTTAAAAGGGATTGCCTTTTGCTTTAAGGTTACACCCCCCATAATGTTCTGGGTCAAGTCATTGATGTCATGACGTCGACACGTTTGCGCCGCGTCATGAAAAGGGGCGTGATTCCAGCGTCCGATGTGGGACATGCCGAACACACTGTGAGAGGAGCTGGCGTCAGATCCTACACCACGTGGGTGTGAAGGAGTAAGGTAAAGATTGTGACACTGAAGTGGTAACAGAGGGAAAGGGATGGTGTTGACAGTCCTAATTTTGTACACCACAGCAGATGTGCCCACTTGAGTTAAGATGTTGGGAATATCAGCCAAGAAGTGGCTGTGCTGGAGGAAGCTGCTCCTTCTAACAGCCCAGGGAACAACTCATCTAGTATGGATGGAATGTAGCATGGAGGAAAAGCTAGGCCGCTTCCTCATTTGGCAACAATCAAGCTGTATCCAACGAAACGCATCTTGGCATTGGCAGGACTGAACAATCGGGACTTTAAAAAGTGAACTCTATACCTATTGTTTTAATAGTTTGCAAAGTTTGGTGATTGTGGGTGGTGTTACAATAAATACTTCTGGTGGTCCATCTTATCTAAGTTTCAGATCACTTTTGGGGAATGTAAATTCGCAATTTGACACACAGTGATTTCCACCACAGAGCCAAGGACTTAGGGGGCTCTAGGGAAGGTGAGAGTCTCTTATATTGGTTAAATTTCAACAGCTTCTATGTGGATATACTACATTATGGTTTTCCAGATGTATTTGTGATTGTTTTGAGAGTGAACATTGTTTGAAGAAGGTAGGGTGCCTTAAGAACCCATCTGCGAGATTATTAAGCATCATAATTTGGGCTTTAAAAAAAATTTAGTTTGTTTACCAGACCATCCTGCACATCCGGCACTTTTTAAAGTACCATCTACACTGTTTGTATCATGTTCTTTGTTTTACATGATCTAAGATATTATTGATACTTTTACGACATTCTATTAAAGATAAGAGAATGTATTGCATGCAATTACCTACCACTCCACTACTGATTTATAAGACAAAAAGTTATAAACACTTGCCACATTTTTTGAAGTGCTTTACCATACTTCCTCCTTGTGAGTTATATTTTCCCTGTTCTAATCTTACTTATTACGATTGTAGTCTTGATTATTTTTTGGTTCCTCAAGGGATTATATTAAGTTAAATGCAGAGCACATCACAGTCTGAAAACAAAGCACTAATGGATATATCTCTGGGAATGTGACATGAATTGTTGATTTATTAGGAATGGCATCAGATAAGGTTATTTATACACAATGGTGTTACTATCATAGATTGATTAATTGTCAGACTGCCTTTCTTCTGGAAATGGTGAACAGGGCACTACATTTAAATATTCACCTAAAATTGTTTGTGACAGCATGCACATTGTTTTACTGTTCACTGTGCTGTTAAATCATTGTTCGTATTGTGTTCAGTATGTTCTGACAAAGTTCATCCAATGTACACATGGACAGGAGAACCATTATTTATCGTCTTTTAATTGTATTAGGATTAAGTTCACTGTAAAAACTCCCACAGCAACCTGACAGATCAAGGACTGGGCACAAAACTGGGTAAATCTGAAGACACGGATTTATTGAAGCGTTTTAAGCAATGTTCCGGTTCTCAAGAGCCATTTGTATTTATTTTACTATATCTATTTTTTTCACTTTTATATCATAGCAGGGCCGACACCATAAATGTTGGGGACCCTGACACAGCTCAAGTCCTGGGGCCCGCCTCGAGTCCACCCACAGGGCCCATCCTAAGTCTTCCCACAAGGATGAAGTGTGTACTGTGCTGTGTGTATAGTGGATTTGGAATGTGTAAAGTGGATGCGGTGTGTGTGTCATGGATGCAGTGTGTATAGTGGATGTAGATTGTACGTTTGTGTAACTTTTGTACAGTTTGTGCGTATTAGATGCAGAGTGTGAGTTTGTGTTGTGGATGTAGTATGTATATAGTGAATGCAGAGTGTGTGTTTGTGTGAGGATGTAGTGTGTGTACAGTGACTGCAAAGTGCGTGTTTGTGCAAGGATGTAGTGTGTGTGTATAACGACTGCAATTGTGTGTTTGTGTAAAGATGTAGTGTGTATAGTGAACGCAGAGTGTATAGTGACTAAAGAGTGTGTATAGTGAATGGAGTGTGTATAGTGAATGCAGTGTGTATA